TTCATTAAAAAATTATGCAGACGTAGGTAATTCAAACAAAGGAAAATGGAAGAGTAGTTTTGTTTTGAAAATGGTATTTATATGCATTGGAAAAATAGCCTTATGTTACAAATGAAGATCTAGTAATTTATCCTAAGTATGAAGTTTATTTAAATATAACAATATAAATTGTAAGTATCTCCAGAACAGAACACTTGGATCATACCCTCAACTAATAAACATGTTCTGCTTCCTGAATGTCCCATCTCAGCTGTCCCATGTAACTACCACAGTGCAGTGACTTAAACAGACCAAAAATCTTAAAATCAATGTCAAGTCCTTCTTTTCCTTCACTCCCATTTTTAATAGATTAGAAAGCTTTGATCATTTCACTTCATGTCCTGTCTTCTTATTTGGATCTCCTGTCTGGACTATTTTAAAAACCTCCTTCTTGGTCACCCTGCTTCTGCTTGTACTGCCTTTCCCAGGAATCTATTGTCACACAGCAGTTGCAATGATATTTTAAAATCTAAAACAGAGCACGTCATTCTTATACTTATTACCCTCCTAATAGCTCTTCACTGAATTTAAGACAAAATGTAAAGCCCTAATGCTCTTGTAAGACCCTACAACATTCAACTTCTTCTCCTGTGGTTCCCGCTACCCTTGCTAAGCTCCAATCTTTTTGTCAGACATAATAAGCTTATTTTTGCCTTGGTGTCTTTGCGTTGCTTAGAATGTTCTTTCTAGGATTATTTGAATTGTGGATGCTGAGGAGAAGATTCATTTGCTGTGTATCCCAGAAGGCATTTATTTCCTAGAGGAACTCCCCATGGTTGACCGAGGGCCCACATTTTATAAATAATAAGAGCTTATTGGCCATTTGCTTCCAGAGGCTTCTCACACACTCTGTATACTAAGACCCTCACACTAACCTCTCCGCCCCCAGCACAATGCTCTGGTCATTTACACGTGGCTGAATCAGCTTTACAAGGAAGTTCTTGCCCCATCTAATCAGAACTGCTCCACAATGACCAGTCAGGAAGTGCACACGTTTGGATGCCTCATTTACATAAAACAGACCAAATGGGGAACCTGAGCGAGAACTTTTGCCTTGTTTTCTCTTTGTCTTGCGGAACACAATTTAGGTTGCTCCCTGAATCTGTGTCTCCTAGGCTACAGCTCCTTTTGCTCAAATAAGAGCTTTTCATTCTTTATGGCAGGTGAAAGATAATTTGGGTTTATAACATGAAGGTCTTGTGGTTATTTTCATCTCAGATTTAAGTCACACTGATTTGGGGGACTACCTATGACCACTCAATCTAAGTTATCCTCAAGGCATAGTTATCACAGTGCTCTCCAAGTAAGGTCTCTGGGTAGTTGGAAATGGTAATAAGGAATTTGTGACAGGATATAAAACAATGCACTACTTTATAGAGATTGCTTTGCTGTGTAACAAAAATGTCAACAATAATATCTAATATGTGAGAGCCATACTTGCTTTATTCAAAAACTACAGAAGCCAGTATGGTGGAAATTTTAGAAAGAAGTAGCTTTATCTTTGTGTGTGTGCATGTGTTGTCTGTTGTCATTTTCTTTTTTTTTATTTTCTTTTTTCCATCACAATTTACCTCTCCACACCCTCTTCTTCCTCTACCAGTTCCCCTACCCTTAAAATCACCGCACTGTTGTCTGCGCCCATGAGTTCTTTCTTTTATTTTCTTTTTTGCTCAATCTTTCCACCCCCACCAGCCTCATGCACCTTCCCACAGAGTTGTCAGCCTGCTATGAGTCTGTCTCTATTTTGCTTATTAGTTCAATTTGTTCATTAGATTCCATATGTGAGTGAAATCATATGGTATAAGTAGCTTTCTCTTGATCAGAAATCAGTCCTGATTATCTGATAAAGACCTGCCTTGGACATGATATTTTTATAGAAATTATGAATGCAGCTATTTTATTTTTTTAAATTTTATTTTTAATTATAGTTGCTATTCAATATTATTTTATATCAGTTTCAGATGTACAACATAGTGTCTAGAAAATCATATACCTTGCAAAGTATTCCCCTCAATATTTCCAGTAACCACCTGGCACCATACATAGTTTTTATAATATTATGGACTCCATTCCCTATGCTGTATTTTACTTCCCCATGACTATTTGTAACTGCCAATTTGTAGTTCTTGATCCCTTCACCTTTTTCATAGGCATAGTGTTCTTTCTTTTTGCCCTTAGTTACCATCCTTGTTACATCTTAGCAGAAAAAAGGAGAAAGGGCATGTGTGGGTAACACGAAGGACAAAGGAATTCTGTTAGTGTGTGGTTACGATACCAAAATGCCAGTGCTACTTTTCCTTTTTCTTATGAGAGGAAGAAATGACCTGGGCGAGGCAAGTCTTCATATCCACTTTGTCTATGCCACCAACCTAAGATATAGATACATTCTGCAATTGTATGAAGTAAACTGTAAGTGCCTATTTTAAAATTCCATTATGGAAATTAAAGGCTATAAATTGTATTTTCATTTAATAAGTTTTACTGGTTATTTTTTTTTTCTTGTAAAAGAATCAATGCCATGGTTGAGATCCCAGAATTATGCACCACAGAGCATGGAAGAGCCATTTTGGCCTGGAAATGTTAAGGGCAGGTGTGACCTGTTATCCATAGACATTGAAAAACTTTAGTGAATCTCTTGCCAAATGTATAAATTTGAAAAGCACAGCCTTCATGGATTAGTTAGCAGCAAAATGCTGTTCCAAATATTTGAAGGTATTAACTTTTTGGATGGAATTATATTGCATCATTCATTATATCTCTGAACAATGCCAGCCAAAAACAACAGTATGGATATTCAGTTGTTCTTACTGAATATTTTTCCCCTGAAACTAATTAAACAACAGGTTTAGCTGCCTTTTTAACATTACAGGTTATTATTTGTTTTGAATAGATAATATAGGTACATGTTACAAAGTATGAAGATACTCGAAGATACAACATGTAAAACTAATTCTCAGTTCCATATTTCTCCCACAGCCATCTAGTTCCTTCCTCCGAGTCATTCACTGTTATTCTTTTAAAGTGTATTTTCATTTACTGTTTTTGGGAGGGGGAAGGAATGAAAGACAGAGAAACATTGATTTGTTGCTCCACTTATTTATGCATTCATTGATTGATTCTTATATGTGTCCTGACCTGCACACTGGGTGTATCTGGCCAAGGCCCTGACCGACAGGGCTACCTGGCCAAGACCCAAAGATAATTGTTTTCAAAGAGAAATCATAATACACCCATAATGTTACGCATATTGATTTCTTCCAATTCAAAGAATTGGAGAGTTTCCATATCAACCCATAAAGGCTTACCCAATCTAACTGCTATATGGTATTCCATCTTATGAGTAAATCAAATTAGCTTCAATACCATCCTGTTACAGGACATTTATGTCTTTTTTTTAATCTTTATATAAAAAAAGTTTTACAATCTTGTTGAATTCCGAGGAGATACAAACTACTCTCACTTTTTCTTTCCAGGTAACCAATGTCTTTTCTCAATTATAGAGAAAAAAGTTGTATTCACAGTACTTTTTGTTGAATTATAAACCTTTTTTTGTTCTCCTATATCAGTTTTCACACTTAGCAAACTGATTGTATTATATCTACTTTCTAAATCTTTTCTATTCATCTTTGTATGTGTGTGTGTGTAATGTGTGTGTGTGTACTTTCTTTACTTTTATTTCATTTAGTTTTCAATCCTATGGTATTTTCACTGTGTTTTCAGCCAGGATAGTTCTCTTTTGTGTTGTCTCTGATGTGGGCTTTATACCTGGGAAATTTTTACCCTTCTTACTTTTTTCTTCTGACTTATTAACACATGTGTTGTCTTTTTCTGTTAACTATCACATCTTTCTTAAATTCTTGTATCTCTGCTTTGAAGTATTGATCATACTATCTCTTATTTTATTCATATTTTTAAAAAATTAATGGCAATTTTTTGGTCATAATTTTATCTGCTCCATGAAATCATTTTTTTAATGAATATTTTTGTCCATTCTTTATTTTTCTGTTTTCTTCCTTTTATTCTAGTATTTTTCTGCAAATCTGGTGCTGGTTTTTTAATTTCAATGAGTTGAATTCTGACCCCCTTCCCCAACCAGAGCTCTAAGCCTATAAGTCTGTCTTTATTTTGCTTATCAGTCCAGTTTATTCATTAGGTTCCACATGTGAATGAAATCATATGGAAAAAGTAGCTTTCTCTTGATCAGAAATCAGTCATGATTATCTAATAAAGACCCTGTCTGAATATGACTTTTACTTAGAAATTATGGATATTGCTATTTTATTTATTTATTTATTTATTTATTTATTTATTTTTTGTGCTGAGCCCACTGTCTATCCAATCCCTTTCCAGGATTTCTTTGTTTTTTTTAAATTTATTTATTTATTTATTTATTTTTTAAATACATTTGTCTCTGCCTCCCCCCCACCACTATTTTATTTATTTTTTAAATTATATTTTTAATTACAGTTGACATTCAATATTACTTCATATCAGTTTCAGGTATACAACATCCTGTATAGACAATCATATACTTTACAAAATGTTCCCCTCGATATTTCCTGCACATAGCTAAAGCAATTTTATGTCTATCACATCTGCCTTGGAGAAGAAACCATCTGGAACTCAGATAAATATCCTTTATGTGACAAGGCCTTCCACTAGAATTTCCTCTTAGACCCGACCATATGGTGGATTTGCCCACTGAAAGGTTAAAACTATATTAAATATAATCTGTTCCTCTGCCTTTACCTGTTTCTTGGTAAAGAAACCTTGGTAAAGGATTAAACCAGAAATTCCCACCTATTTGCCAAAATTTGTGACAACACTTATATCACATAACACTATGTTAGCATAGGGCCATGGAAAAATAATTCATCTAAAATGAATGAAAGAAATGATTATATCCAAAGATTACTCATTTTTGAAATTGTTAATGCATAAAAAAATAAGAAATTTTACAATTTTTATGAATAAAAATTTATTTTGAAAGGTTAAAAGAAATTTTTGCATTTATGAAATTATAACAACAAATAAAGAGAATAAGTTGACATAAAAAGTATATGGGATGCAAAACAAAAATTACAAAATTTAATAATGAAGTTAATAAAATAACAGATTAGATAAAAAAAGTCAAATCAGAGAGGAGAAACAAATGACAGAGGGGAAACAATCCAAGTGAGAGTATTTCTAAGGAAAACAATAAAGAAAAATTAAAGTGAAACTAAAATGGGATGGTTGCACGTAATTTAATGGAAGAATAATAAGACCACAGGAGGTGAGAATAGAGCAGAGAAAAAATAAGAGATATATATCAGAAGATACATTTTAACTAGGAGATTGAACTACCTTTGAAGACCTAGGAAAGATTATGTTAGGTAAATAATAATTAGATATATCTTGGTGAAATTATATATATGTTTCCTCTGACTGCTGTAATACATTAACACAAACTTGGTGACTGAAACAATTCAAACTTATTCTCTCTCAGTTCTAGAGGTTAGACATTTGAAGTCAGTTTTACTGTGTTGAACCCAAGGCGTTGCCACAGCCACCTTGCTTCCATCTGCTCCAGGGAAGAATTCATACTTTTGTCTCTTCTAGATTCTGAAGATGCTGGCATTGCTTAGCTCGTGGCTGAATCTCTCTCTCCCATTTCTGCCTCTGTGATCACATTGTCCTTCTTTCTCCTCTTCCGTTTCAAATCAACCTGTCTCTTACAAGAATACACAGGATAGCAGTTAGTGCCCTCCTGGAAGATCCAGTGTTATCTTCTCCTCTCAAGATTTGTAACTTAATCATTTCTGCAAAATTATTTTATGCACTACGAGGTAACCTTTACAAGTTACAGGGATTAGGGAGTAGATGTCTTTTGAGGGCCCATTATTTAGCCTATGAGCTATGTGTATGTATGCATGCGTATCTAAATCTTATAGGTATCCAGAGATACAGATTGCATGCATTGTTTTTAGATTTTTATTCTATAGATAACTCTATATAGTTGAAGAAAATATATTTAAATGGTGACATTATAAATTTAACCAAATGATTATTTATTTGCAAAAGCAACTGAAAGATTTCCTTAGCTATAAAAAAAACACAGTTTACTTTTTCCAAAGAAAACTTTTGTTGAATTACAGGAGGAAGGGAGATGAGTTAGGATTAGAAACTTACAAGGAAGAAAGTAGTTTTATAAAAGTCTAGGAATAAGCACTATGGCTTAACAGAGACTTAAACATCAAATCAAACCTCAGTGCTGGAGAGCTGGGTCTACTCATTCCAGATTTAAACCCAATCTCTAGGTAATCTCCTTCAGTCAATGGCTTTATATAACATCTTGATGCTGGAGACAATCTAATTTATGTCTCTAATCTAGACATCTTCCTTCAACTCGACTTTCATTTAACAAAGTGGTTTAATTCTCTCTCTTTCTTAGATATATAATAGGCATCTGAAAGTTAACACACTCTCAAACTCTTATTTCTTCCTTTAGAATTTCTGAACCTACAGCTTTCCTTTTCTCAGAATATGATAAATCTATTCAACCGGTTATTTACTCAGAAGTGTCTGTTTATCCTTCTAAATTTACATTTTTGAATAAACACATTAAGTGAATAAGCAAATAGTGAATAAAAATTTATCTTGGTACATACATACTGACATGTATTTTAAAATATATATCTTATGTAAGCATATACATTTTTGTAGAAGATAAAAATTCATATATCTCTATATATCATACATAAGTAGATATAAAATTCATGTATGTCATTTGTATGTGGATATTGGGCTGTTATTTTAAGTTTATTTTTAAATTGTGGGTCATGGACAAACATTTTTGAAAATCAAAATTCTAAGCTGAGGAATGCATTGCCCTTTGGGAAATTGTAACCTTTGTCTTGGTAGCTGGGTCCCTTGGAGTCAGCAATGTAAAAAAAAATTAATGTATTAATTTTTATGTATTAATGTATGTCAAAATACTTTAAAAAGTTATCTTTAATTAGTATGATTATATCTTTTCTTTTTTATATTTTCTAAGATTTTTTTCAATGAACACATGCTTTAAAAATTTGGACCAATGTTGTTAACATTTTTTACAGAAAGGTAAACAGAAAAAGAGATGATAATTAATGGGGATATTGATACAAATCATCAAATTGCTTTGAAGATGGAGGACCTCAGGTACTCGTTTTAAATGGTGCAAGTAAGTTTTTTTTCTAAAGTTACCTTTAAAATATGTTGAGTAGGGGTATTTAATATGGGAAAATGTCTCAAAATGTTACACTATTGAGTTTTTTTAAGGTGAAATCCAGGTAAATTAAATAAAATTGATACCTTATACATCAGATTGATACTAGTAACATGATACTTTTCATCTGGACATTAATGTATAATAATTTAAATCTTCCTTCTTTCAAGAAATAGTGACCAAAAAAAGTTGAAAAGATGATTAAAAGACATCATAGAAATGTCAGAATGAATTCCAGGGACTGAATAATGTATATGAAATAGAATTCCATGTAGCAATATTAGACAGTGATCAAGAAGCTTAGGTGTTCTGGAATTTGACACAGTCCTTGGAAGCCTTACATCTTCTCTGAGAGAAATAAATAGCTGCCTTCTACTTGGTTTTAATGCCAGGAAAATTGAGAGAAAGGACAGGGTACTTACCCTCTGTCTTTGAAATCTTCAAAAATCTAAAAAGAAGGAAGGAATAGTGTTGTGTTAGAATTTTCACTTAATATTTTGAACATGACTTCAAAGAGAAAACTCCAAGGGAGATTATTAAAATTTTATCATTCATGGATATGTGAAAATGTTAATTCACTTACCAAAGAGAATATTATACACACATTTGGTTTAAAATTGAAATGCCATAGCAGATGTTAGCATTTGAGTTTTTCACTCACTTATTACCTTGCACAAAGATAGTAACTTCAAAATTAGCATATTACAATGTTATAAAACAAAGAAAGCACATTTCAGCTAAAGAAAACCAGAGAAATATCTTTAAGAACAGTGGAAAAGGAAGAATCTTCTTGGATGAAAAATGTTGTTTTGTGCCTGGGGCTATAGACTAAAGGTTCATTTCCGTTGATGTGGTGAAATAAACGTAGTTAAACCAAGTTTTGTTTCTTCCAAACTCATATGTTTCTGAGAATCACATTTCCTAGGGTCTGTTCCCAAAGGCCTAACACTATAATGAAAATTTGCATTATAGATATAAACATAATCCTTTACATCACAAGGACCTAGACTGCAGCCCAAGAATCTGCAGCTATTACTTCACATTAACAAAAAAGAAAAAGGGAGTTCTGGCTGGTGTGGCTCAGTGGATTGAGCGTTGGCCTGCAAACCAAAGGGTCACCAGTTCAATTACCAGTGCAAGGCCCAGTAGGGGGTGTGTGGGATGCAAACACACATTGATGTTTCTCTTCCTCTGTTTCTCCCTCCTTTCTCCTCTAAACTTAAATAAATAAAATATTTAAAAAAAAGATATAAGTGTAAAAAGAAAATAAAGGACAGGTTATACAAAAACTGAATTTGTTCATAGTCATTCTATCAAGCATGAGAACTTAAATTTGATATTGAAAGGAAGAAGAAAAAATATTCTGAAATACTAAGTAAATGCTAAAAATTAAAAATGTCAAAAACTTAAAATTGACACAAGTATGCAAATTATTATCTGTCTAACATCTAAAAGATATTAGGGGAAAACTACCAACAAAAAGGTATTCAACACCTTATAAATTCAAGTTCTGTCACCTTTTTCATTAGGTTGTTAAGAGAGTCATTGTTTCTGAAGGATATCTGCTGCAAGAAAAATATTTGTATTTTCCTGATTAGGAAGTAGAAAATTGGTAGAATTGTGATTGGTTCCTAGGTCCTTTAAGAAATCTTGGATGTTGGTTTAGGCCGTTAAAGTAAAAACTGTACTGGATGAAGTCAACCGGAAGGGAAGATTTTATTCAAGACAGGTGCAATAGTCCTGGCTGGTGTGGCTCAGTGGATTGAGCGCTGGCCTGTGAATTAAAGGGTAACTGGCTCAATTCCCAGTCAGGGCACATGCTTAGGTTCCAGGCCTCGTCCCCAGTCAGGGGTGCTCAAGAGGAAATCACATCCTGATGTTTCTCTCCCTATTTTTCTCCCTCCTTTTTCCACTTTAAAAATAGATAAATAAATACATACATAAATAAATAAGTCCTTAAAAACAAAAGGCTGCTGCAATAGAAGAGAGAAACTAAACTCCTCTGAAACAAAATCTGTGAGGGTTTTAAGTGCTTAAGTCAGTTAGTGAAAAAGTACTTGAGACAATTGGGGAAGGGTTGACCAGTGGGTTGCATTGAGCACACTGAGTTATTATTGAATTTGCAATTTTGCAGATGTTTTTGTCTATGATGAGGACATCTGTGTTTTGTAATTTGCTCCCATCAAAGTTATGATCTTACCTTCCCACAGAGACTGACAGATGAAGGCACTATCTTTTTAAATATCTAGGTTCAAAGTAATAATTCCCAGGTCCTTGAGAAAGACATTTCCTGTGTAGTAAATCTGACAAGAGGCTGGGAGATTTACATACATTTCAAGGGGTAGAGAAAGAATTAACAATTGTAAGATTTCTAAAATAGGTCAGAGGCCTACAGTCTGGAAGGAATCTGTCCAAAGTTTAGTCAAAATGAGGGGAACATTAAGGTTACCTTTGTCAAAGCAATGACTTTGAATTTACACTGCAGGTTGAATTAGTTATATCAGTAATATTTCTGGTGTACTTTTTTCTCCTCTTTGGTTAAAAGTAGGAGTAGCAGCTATCCTATGTAGATAATACATACACAGATAGACAGGCTGGCAGGCAGGCAGACAGACAGATCATTCTCTTGGAATATTCATTTCAAAGATTTTTAGCATTCTTAACATTATTAAATACATTTTTATAGATTATTCTCCAGAGATTTCTTTGCTAAGTATTTTTTTCCTTTTCCTCCCTGAACTGTTGAAGGAAATTTTTAAAAAAATAAATAAAAGAGAATTAAATGAGGTATTTTTTTTTGCTTATTCCTTTTATTTTTTTCACCCATCCCTATAACTTCCCTCCCCCTGTGTCAGTCTACTCTATCTGCAAGTCGGTTTGTATTTTGTTTGTTAGTTTATTTTGTTAATTAGATTCTACATATGAGTGAAATCATGTGGTACTTGTCCTTCTCTGACTGGTTTATTTCAGTTAGCATAATGCTTTCCAGGTCAATCCATGCTGTTGCAAAAGGTAAGATTTGCTTCTATTTTACAGCCCAGTAGTGTGTGGAAATGAAACACAGCTTTTTTATCCACTCATCTACTTATGGGCACTTGGGATACTTCCATATCTTGGAGATTGTAAATAGCACTGCAATGAACATAAGGGTGCATATACTCTTTCAAATTAGCATTTTGCATTTCTTGGGATATATTCTCAGATTATATCTTATATTAGCTTTTAATATTTGATCATATAGCCATCATATGACTATAACACATTCTCTTTCTTTTAATATGGCAAAATCCCCTTTTATTCCCTCTTGGAATAACTCAGTGAAATTTTTATGGTGATATTTTGCTGGACATTAATAGACTTTTCTACATATAAATGTATGTATTTATACATCTACGTGTGTGTCTGTGTGTGTGTGTTTAATTGTGGTGGTCCTTGCTTTACTCTTTGGCCTTCTGAAGTTTCCACCAAGAATGTATCAGTAAATTGCCCTATTGGTTTATCTTCAAATTAAGTACATTCAGCCGAAAAACTTGTATTTCTTATATTTCTTACCATCTTCATTTTAAAACAAACTATATAAAGAACATTTTTTAAAATTCAGTAAGACTATAACTGCAACAGGAAATTTTACTGATTGTTCAATTTGTTTTTCTTCTTCAGCAATGGTGGGAAGTTTCCATTTATTAGAATATTCTGTTAAAGTGTCACAGCAACAATTACATTAAGATTTACTTACGAAATTTATTTTCTGATTGATCAGAAATTAATTACTTTACTTTTACAAATTATACCCTTCCTCCTGATCTTTCATATATCAGAGATCACACATCAAAAGGAGGCTCATATGAAAAGCAATGGATCCTCGAAGAAAGGCACCTGAATCAAGGTGGTGGTGTAGAACTGAAAGCCTGATGATTTATCTCCATTTGTGTTGTTTTTTCTTCTTCTCAGGATGAGGGGAGAACCATAAAGCAAAATTGTCAATTTCTAGCAAAACTAAAGTGCTATAAAAAGTGATTTGGGTTGTATTTACAACCTTCTCTAATCAGCTGAAGCTGACCAAATATCATGGACTTTTTTAAAAAAGATGTATGTATGTATGTATGTATGTATTTATTATTAGAGAAGGGGGAGGGGGGCGTTAGAGAGGCAAAGAAACATTGATGTGTGAGAAATATATCAATTAGTTGTATCTCACACACCCCCAACCAGGGACCTGGCCTGACATATATTGTTTTACATGTTATCTCTTAATAGCAACATTTTTGTTTCTATCCAAGAGCCCAAACCTTTTATTTTAAGATTCCCTCTTGCTTTTTGTTAAAAACAAAAAGGCGTTTCTGTTTCTTTTTATAACTCACGTTGACATTAAATTTATAAATTAGATGAAACAGTATTTAAATTACAGTATTCAGTATTTCAATAATTAATCATTTAAAAGACACCCTTTTATGAATGGTGATGCAAATAAACATACAGATACTTTTTTAGGAAATAAATATTGCAATTACTTGAGAAATAAAGAATTTGAACCTGTCAATCATTTTAATATAACTTTTTGTCAAACTTTAAATTGTGAAAATTAATTAAACATGTTCTAGCCATTTGGCTTTTTGAAATCTAGGTACAATGCTAGGTGATAGATGTGAAAAATCAATGTTATCCTTCTGGCATTTCTGTTCAGCAATATAATAGCTTTCTTAATATGGGTGTAAGAGAGCTACTGATATTTTTGCCTTGATTTACAGGAAAATGAACATTATATAAAGAGTAAATATATTAATTAGAGACCGGCACAGCTTTCTTTCTTGCTTGTGTAATCGTTAAATTGATTTTTCCAGTCCATCATGTAATTGCTCCAGCGATGGAATCCTGCTTTCCACTCCTGTTCTGCTTCATCAATATTTCCTGTAAAACATAGAACAAATTGAATTAATCTAAATTTAATCTTTATTTATGTTAACTGAAAAATATTTTCTATTATAGATGCCAGTTTTTTCAAGTACACTGCACAATTTTTATTTTCCATTATTTATTATCAGTTTTTCTCACTACCGGAATAGATTTTAATAAATTTTATATATTATATAAAAATGCAAATAACATATTTGTATAAAATGCATATAAAGTACACACATGTATAACACATAAAATGCGAACACGGATGTAGCTATTATACATCAAATTATATTACATTGCAAACATTGGTTTTGTGTCTGGAAAATATAAATAGTATTTATATTATTGATTACCCTACTCATACCAAAAATTTTAATGCACCTTACTTACAAATATAATTATACTTCAGAGTATTACTTCAGATGAAAATGTTTCTATCACAATATTTGTTTGTAAACATAACTTTGCAATTGGCATTCGATATCAATATTGCACTCATCCAATTATATATTCTATATATTCTATATATTCTAATCAATATTGCACTCATCCAATTATATATTCTATATATTCTATACAATCTATATATTCTAATTCCAAACAATGATTAGTTACTAAAAATGGTTTGTTGAAACTGGTATAGGAAAGCAGTTTATTAATTGCTTTGCAAATTAGAGAGACTACTAAAATAATCCGTGCACTCCAGCAATTTGCAAAGTATATGTATGTGTCAAACGAGAGAAGTGTTTAAGTCAAAAATAATGTGAGGCGATGAACCAAAAATGACCTGCTTATGTACTACAAAAACCTTGAAACCTTGACTTATTTGAAAATGTATACCCTCCATTAAAGAATAATATTTGTGAACAATAGAAACTTTTAAAATCATATATTTATGTTCCCAAAATAAGAGCTTAAGTTTTTTTAATATATAATTTTCAGTTAGGAATTTTTTTAAATAATTATAAAACTTTAAGATATTAATTTAGAGAAGACAGTTTATATGATCTTATGCTGTAATATAATATAATATATTAAAAAGTGTCTTCCTTTCATTCATACTATTAATAATGGGGTACATTCAATGATTCATTTTTAGTTTATATAAAAATCAAAATACCTAAAACATTTGTATAGCCATGAAAACATTATCTGTAATTTAGATTAATGTTAGGTTTGCAATATTCATAATGATTGGAAAATGGACAAATATTTGAGAATTTATACAAAAATATCCCACTTTTATGCAAAAATTACTTCACAAGGTCACTGACTATAATTTCATTCTGAACAATGGAACTTTTCTAAAGACTCAGAAACATTAGATGTGGAAGAAAGATATTAAATATCATAACCAAATTACCCATTTTTATATTATTTGTAATAACTAATATATTTAATATACTACTTACATAAGTACACTGATGGTGGGAATGCAGACTGGTGAAGCCACCGTGAAAAACAGAGTGTAATTTCCTCAAAAAACAAAAAATGGAACTGCTTTTTGACCCAGCAATTCCACTGCAAGAATTATATCCTAAGAATCCTGAAACACCAATTCAAAAGAACCTATGCACCCCAATGTTCATGCAACGCAATTTACAGTAGCCAAGTGTTGAAAATAGCTTAAGTGCCCATCAATAAATGAATGGATAAAAAAAAAAACTGTGGTACATTAACACAATGGAATAATACACAGCAGAAAGGAAGAAGAAACTCCTACCCTTTGTGACAGCATGGATGGAACTGGAGGGCATTATGCTAAGTAAAATAAGCCAGGTGGTGAAAGACAAATACCATATGATCTCATCTATAAGCAGAAACTAATCAACAAAACAAGAGAGCAAAAAATAACTAGAGATCTTGAAATAAAGAACATACTAACAACAACCAGAGGGGAGGAGAGAGGCGGATAACGGGGCAAAGAAAGGGAAAGGTAATAAAGGAACATGATTAAAGGCCTCATGGACAAAGACAGTGGGGTGGAGGATTGAATGTGGGAGATGGGGGTGGGTTGGATAAGGGAGAGTAATGAGGAAAATGGGGACAACTGTAATTGCACAATAAAAAAAAGAAAAAAAAAGTTACTTCCATGAAATAAGAACTAGAAAGTTCTTAAGAACAGAACATTTTTGTTATAACAAATTATTGGTAATTTAGCATCTAGACCATAAATTCTAACACTTAGAGAAACTGTCTCAGATATGATTTTTTCTTGGAATAATTCCAAAACTATACATATACAGGCAAGTTTACTTCCTTATGTGTCATAATCAAACATCTGTATGATTTATTGTATTGAAATACTTAATTTTATATTGTATATTTGCTCTGTAAACCTGACTAAATTTTTAACTTAGAAGTACTGAACATTGATTGAGATAATAAAATTTAAATCACTTATTTTCTAACAATGCAGAGAAACTGAATACACCATGATAAAGAAATAATAAAATATTTTGAGTCTCATGACAGAAATCAAAACAAAAACTGGACGTTTTCCTCCTCCCACCTTATCTCCTCCAAAATGAGACTTTCTTAAGCATTCATAGATTTACCATCTATGAGATGTCTGTAACAAGATACTATAGCCCTGGCCAGTGTGAGTCAGTTGGTTGGAGTGTCCTCCCACAGGCCAAAAGATGGCAGGTTTGATTCAGGTCAGGGCAAATGCCTGGGTTGCAGGTGCAGTCCCCGACTGAGGTGTATGTGAAAGGCAACTGATTGATGTTTATCTCTCTTTCTCTCTCCCTCCCTTCCTCTTTAAGCATGTTCTTGAGTGAAAATAAAAAATGAAACATCCCCCCCCCAAAAAAAACCAAGGTACTACAGTGTGAAATTTAAAAAAAATATTGTATCAGTATAGACTTTGTGGAGAAATGGATTAAAATTCCAGCTTGACCACTTATTGTATTAGTGATAGAAAGAGTTTATAACTTTTCAAATTAGTTTTCTACTATAAATGGGGATAGTTATCTTTATTTTTCAGGTTATTGTGAAGGATAAATGAAATGGTATGTGCATTATGGAATCAAGCTCTATGCACTTATTTGGAGCTCCGCTAATGAATTTACTGTCCTTGTCACAAAAATTTATTCCCAACTGCTCTTTATTGAACTGATGTATGATTACATTAATTCCAGTAGTTCATATACCTATTGATACAATTTTTTTCAGTACTTTTATAATCTTTGATTTGCCCTCATTGTTGTCTTCTTTGGAAAAACAAAAACCAACCAACAACCAACTAACCAAACAAACAAACAAACAGGGCAACCTTTCTTCCCTACAGAAAGAGTAATAATAAAGTCATATTTTGTCTTCTCAACTAAAAAGGAATATTTCAAAGAAGTTGATTCTATTTAGTCAAGTCTGAAAAGTTAGAAAAAGAAATAAACACCAAGAAGTAAGCCAGCCCAAAATTGTTAACAGAGGTCAAGTTTGAAGAAGAAATTAAATTTTCATTGAATTGTACTGAGCATTATAATAAAAATATTTTATGTATTTTTTAGAGTTCACTGAAAATCTCTTCGCCCTTATTACTACCTGCTTATTTCTGTATTTGTTGACAAATTATTAAAATTACCAAGACATGCATATTCTTTATGTATTATATTAGAACTTATTAGTGTGTGATGACATAATAGAATGAATTACTATAAATTCAGGCTAAGCTTTGTGAAGATTTCATGTACTTTTAAAGTGAAACAAAAATATAATTTGATTTAATTATAGGTTACCTTAAGGTTTTTGTTGTTGCTGTTGTTCTGTTTTGCTTTTAGTGAGGAATAGAAAATACAGAATATGAAAACAGAAAACATTTTGATTTTTTTTCTTCCAAATTAGTTTTCCGCTCTCATTTTTGGCTTTCATTCTTGCTAACTGATTAGCCAATAGAAGTACATGATTCCTCAAAGTGACTAATCCAAGTGGTATCTTAGGTCTTAAATTTATATGTGGTCTTCTTTAGTTTTGTCAAGTAACAGTGCTTCATGATTTATTCAAAGGCCAAAGGAGGAGCCAATGGATATACTATGTGAAAGTCAAAGATTTTTATTCTTTTAAATAAATTTATTCTTTCATTTTTTAGTGAAAAAGTTAATGTTTTATTGACATTGACTGAGTCATTTCTCTATTTTCTTTTTTTTAAATGATTCTGAGATATTATAGTTGCATTTTAATATAAGCTCTGAGTTTGATAACATTTGAAACAAATATTGTACATTTTATTTCTTGCAGGTGCAAACAATAACAGCTTAGCCATGTGCTAAAATATGGTTTGAAAGTTAAGTGCTAGAATTCATATGTTTAAACAAGTCTTAGGGATTATTTTATTTGAGAACATTTGTTGCCCAAATGTAAACTACTGCTCAAGTGGTACTTTTAAAGCTTATTGAATTTGCATGTCAAGTCAGGTAAGCATTATATTTTTCCTTTGAAGAAATACAGTCTGTAATCATTCTTTGAGATTTTCTTTAACTTGTGGAACTTCATTTTTTAAAATAAAATTTTCATAAAAACTTTCACTCAGGTCATCTGAATAACTTCAATTTTTAAAACATCAAAAATTGAAATGTTTGATGTTTTGCAACTTGAAAAATATAAAATATGATAAGAACATGTGTTTTTAGTCTTTTAAACACCTTAATTAATTATTATTTATAAAACCTAAACACGTTTAATTTTACATTGATTTTCCTTGCTTAAATATAATTTTTATTATTAATAAATATATTGTTGATGTTATAAAATCACATGCATTTATTTTAAAATTTATAACACATTTACTGTAACTTTTTTTGAGAAATTATCTGATAAAAATAATGCTAAAATATTAAGTTATATTTTCAAGACAAGTGGAAGTATCCCCAGAGCATGATACTAACCCAGAGCAGACATGCTATTTCCCCACATTGCTGCTCAAACTACTAAGTTGTTCAGCACTGCATAAGCAGGAACTAGCCAAAATTTTCAAAGTTTATTAAATCTGCTTTGTGGGAGTTGAATATTTAGAGATAGAGATTTTGAAGTACATCTTCAGAAATTGCTAATACTTAAATTTTATTTTATCAACAAATAAATTGCAATAGACCATATGTGCCTGAATCAGAAAGGTTTAGTTTGTCTTATAATAAATTAGTCATTTACAATCCCTCCAACCCCTCTCTTAATTTTTCTCAAATTATGACCTTCTCATTTAAAATATTTTAAGTAAAGAGTAGGAATGTGTAGTGTGTGATATGTTCAATGGTACCTCTTCTCTACTCTTGGCAGATTAAACGTGTTACTTCATTGTTATTCACACCCAGAGGATACAAGGGCATCATTGTATCTTTCCCAATGGATGCAAAGCCCATTTATGGATATATATTATGTCACAGAACATTTGGTAATACACAGAACACTGGTATATCAGAAACATTTCCCAAACAGATGGAGTACATAATTATAATTTTGCTGAATAATGTCTGATAATCAGAAGGCATATTAAACAATAAAACATAGCTCCGAGGTGCCCATATTTGCCTGAAACTAACTCCTTCCCTCTCTAAATAAAAAACTAAAAACATCTACTAATTTGTGATATTTAATACATAGTTTGAAAATTACAGAGTGTTATGATGAACAGAATGATAAAGTGTAAAGGAACTGGCCAGCAATATGTCTGATGGTTGAAAGTCAGTTATTTTTATTTGAAAAAATTAAGGTAGAAATTGACTAGAAGAGCCACATGTGTTATGAATAGCTGGTCATTTTAAACCTAGGCATTGAATTAGATATGTATATTATGTTTTTTATCACAGAAGATGTGATCATTCAAGGTGATTTAAATCATTTTCATTAATACATTTTGAAATAATATGACATTATGAACCAATTTTTCTAGTATTTCCTTATATAAGTCTAGGAAATGACTTCTTGAAGATTAGCTAACTAAATTATTGTTTATTGTAGTATGTAGTATATGTACATGTTCTTAGATAAGTATCTCCAAGTTCCATATATATTTAGAAGTATTTTTATTGTCTCCTTAAATGTAAATGTTAGAATTTTTCTCCTTTAAAAATTAAAAGTTCCACTATTTATAAATAAATTTTATTTTTTCTCTCTGAGTATAAATCATATTTTGTTCTAGTTTTAGTTATGTAAATGGCTAATTTTATATATTTATTTATTCATTATCTATTAATTTCACAAAAATTGGCTGCATAGCAAGTAGTATCCTATTTTAGTTCCACTACTGTTTTATGTTTTATATTTTAGGTTTCTTTATTTAACTACTAAAATGCTCCTCATATATAAGCCCTCAAAACAAATCCAGATTTCTTGACAGAAAATTGTTAATATAATGGACTGATTAGAATAAGTGATTATAACATTGCAGATTAATACTGTTATTGTGGCTTGGATAGTCTAACTTTTCCTCTTTTTACATAATCCAAACCAATTATTTAACCAAATACTAAATACACATACCTGTTATTTCCAAGACTTTGGGAAAAAAGAGTGTCCAGAATCGGCATTGTTGAGCACGTAGCTTAGCATATACTTTTGGTGACTCTGTGCTCAAAGTTAAATATTTTTGTTCAGTGCTCTTGAAGACAGGCCATCTTGTACTACTATTCTGGGTGCCATCTGGATTTCTAAAAAAAGTTAAAGAAAGACATTATAGCTCTATTGACATCATTGCTAAATAAAAATATTGTTCTCAAAACCAGAGGTTTTTAACAAGTCAGAAAAAAATTGTGGATCATTTTTGATGAGGTCAAGCATAATTGAACTCGGTCGAATGTTTTCCATACCTTGAAGCACTGTGTTAGTTAAAATTGTAGGGAGTTAAATTTGGAGACTTTTCACATGCATTTCTGCTTAACATTCACGGAGAAAAACATATTTTCTATTCAATATATATATTGCTGTTTTTCTTTTTAACATGCTGAAAGGTCAGTGTTATTTTTGTTTCACCTTATCCCTTATCCCAGGCTCAACCTTCTCACAATGAACATTAATACCATCTACTAAACTTCTCTTGCATCTATTTCATTCTATTTGTTACCCTTACTGCCTGAGTACAGGATCGATGACCTATTTCCTTATTATCTAATAAACTCATTACTCTAGGAAACTGCCTTCAGTCTCACTTTTAAGTTGATCTTACCTTCTTGAAGATCTGTTCACAGCTTAAAATCCTTCTAATAACTCCCAGTGGGTTCAGATAAAGGTTAATAAACATGATGCAACTCATGTTGTCAAGCTTATTTTCAGATATTCTCTTCATAAGCCAACCAACAAGAATTAGGAATAGTTCCCTAGCAATTTCCTTCTTTATTTTTATTTATTTGCCTTTGCTCCAGCTATTACTTCTGCTTGATATTATTTCATTCCCTAATATCATGTGTCAGCTTCAAAACTTTTACATTCTCTTTCTGTGTTAATATTTCTTATACCTTTCACTGTGTTTTTTAATGGTTCATTTTTTATTGTTTTTTTCATTACCATTCATCCTCATATACCCTCTTCTGCCTCCTCCCTCCCCCCAACAAAAAGACACAAACTATATCTAGAATCCAATGAACAAACTGAACTAACAAGCAAAATAGAGACAGATTCATAACTAAAGAGCAGGATGACAGCTCTGGGGGTGGGGTTGAAGGATGAAGAGGTAAAACAGAAAAGAAAAAGAACTTATGGGCAGGGGCAAGAGTGTTATTGTGGCTTCTAAACCAGTAACACTTGACTCTATTTTTTAGAAATTTGCAGTTCTGGGTTCATTTACACATCTGTAGCACTCCATAATACATTATTACCTTGGCCATGCAAATAGGAACTCTAAGAATGAACATTGTGAAAGTGACTCCAAGTAGAAAATCCATGGATTTTCTTTAATATATATATTAAGCAATAATTATGGAACAAACATTGCTCTGGGTACTAGAAATAGAAATAAATACAGGAAACATCGTTTCCTATATCAGGGCATTTCCAAACAAGAATATCCATGAAAACAAAGAACCACCAGGGTATGGTAGTCTGTGCCAAGCATACAAAAAGGGACATGTCATCAGAAGAGGGAACAATCACTGTGTTTGAAAGGATATAACTGAAGAAATGAACTCTAGATGAAGGAGAAGAAACAAGGAACTGAACCAGAAAGAAAATTTGTGAAAACTAAAGAGAGGGAACAGAATTAACACAGGCAGAAATAATGAGTGTTCATCTTAGTTCAAATAACAATGAAAAACTAGTTTTCATGGATTCTAGGATAGAAGAGATATTATTAGAGTTACAGCTTTAGGATATTAGTGCTATCATATTAAGACCTGACAGTCTAGAAAAATGGTTTAAACTTTAGCTTGTAGGTATTTACTATTCTTGGGAGATTTTTTTTGACTAAATGGCTTTCTGTGAACATAACATTTTTGAATTATTGACCTGGGGGTAATATCTAGAATAATTAAGAAATCTGTAAAGTAGTCACAGGTACTTTCTTCATAAACAGAAGACTAAAGTGATAAGGATTAGCAAGTCATTCCTTTCTCTTAGATGCATTCTGCCTTAAGCAAAACCATGTAAGAAAAATTCCAGTTGAATTTTCCTAAAAGTTCAACACACAAAATTCTTCATTATTCAATATGCCACATATGGATAAGAAGTTGGCAGTAGTGATAGCAAATACTTTTTTTTTTCCCAAAAGTCTGTGGACCCAGTAGATTTGGGAAAGAGAAATAGCATTTGCCCAATATAATAATCTAGAGGCAGATTTTTTTCATCAAGAACTTGTAACAAATTAGCACCATAAATTTCTATTTTATCATAGATGCAGACATACTCAACCATGAATTCATGAGCTTTACCAATAAATAGCTTCTCAATGGAATAGTTGATTTTACTTAAGAATTGGATGATTTAATAAACTTTATTAATAAGCAGAGCTATTCAAGCTAAACCCATAACATAACAGGATTGAAACCTCCTGCTTTAGGGTATTATTTGAGAGAGGTCATAAAGTAATTTCTCCAGTTCACAGATGGCACACTTGTCTAGGTGAATTATTGAGTCTTTTTCCTTTTCTTTAAAGCTTTAGAAACTAACAAGTACAGCTGCTGGAGGCTGGATTTTCAACCAGGAGAACCATTGGTCTGATTCAGTACAGCAATTCTTATATTCCTAAATTGCCCACTTGCCTTCTAATTCCACTCTAATTAACTTATGGCAACATTTTAACTGCACATTCATTTCTGGCTTCTGCAAACGGTGACTTAAACAGAGCTGACTTGTACTTGAGTTCAAGAGTGAAGCGGTAATGACCTTGCCAGTGTTGATTTAACAAACTTTGTCTCATGAAATAACTCATGACACTCCAAATTACAATTCCGAGATAATAAAGTTCCTTTGCCTATGGATGCAAATTTAGTTTTCAAGAAGTGATTGAAATAGCTATTGAAAGAATGGAGCATTTTACTCTATAATTTGAAGAAATCTCCAAAGACTTTAAGTTTAACAAGAGATATTTTCTTTTCCTATCTGTAGCAATTAAAAAACTTTGTGAAATACAAGGTATTTTTCAGATATACAATTTTGAAACATGTATAATTTTAATCTCAAAATTACAAGATGCATTTAAACATCTTGAAGTTGCTCCTTTAAAAAAGAATCTGTTCTTCTAACAAAATAAAGACAAAAATGATAATGCCTAAAATGTTCCATGAACAAGAGTAATTTTTGCTTTATTTTTCCTATCACATTATTTTTGTACTTTGCAATATCTAAAAGTAGTCTATAGTTCTTCTATTGCTTTTTCTTCTTATTAGGTTTGAAAAGTTTTAAGTGTTATCTTATTTAACAAAAAAAAGGCAGATTATCTTTGTAACGCCTGTTTCAGAATATTGTCTGCGTATTATTGATATTTGAACCCAGATTACATAACTAATTTCATAAATAGATATTTAATGACATTAATTGACTTAGCATGCTTGATATCAAGTAGTATGCATTCATCTTTATACATCAGGTTTCCTTGCAGTTATAAATTTCAATATTGCCTACCAAAACTAACACTGAAATTAAGATCCTTTTTGATTAAAAATTCAGAGACAATAAGTTGTAAGTAGGGTATACAGTCATTTTAAAGTGAATATGTTTCCTTTTGCTTTACAACCTAGTAAATGAAGTCATGATTGATAGTTGTAAATTAGAAAGACACCTGAAATATCCTACTGTCATAAGAGGGCTAAGGGGTAATAGTTTATACTATATTTCTTAAACATGCAGATATTCATGGATTCATATTTCATGTCATGTTGCACATAAATCAAATTGTATTTTTTGAGAAGAATTGAAGGACTATAAGAGAATCTGAATTTAGAAAAGCATTCATTTATTCAACAAATATTATTGAATACACACTAGGCCTGGTTTCTTTAAGTCACAGAAGAATCAACAAAGGCAAATTAGAGATCCCTGCCTCTTGCAGTTTTCATTCTTTGAGGAAGATAGGCAATAAACAAGATAAATAAGGAAAATATGTTATATAGTAATAGCTGCTAGAGATAATAAAATGGAGTGTAGAAATATTAGGAAATGACCAGTAAGTATCAATGAGGAGGAACATTAGTGAGGGAGTGTGTAATAATTTGATTGGACATTGTTCACAGTTCCTGTGAGGTAACACCTAAATCTTTGGAATTTCCCACAGTAGCATTATTTATGGTTATTTATGTTAACAGAGTGACCCATAGTGGGCACCTGATGGTTTTCATTAATGACATGACTCAAGGTGGGGCTGGTCATGCTGAAAATCTTAGGGAAGGAATGACTATGTTTGAAAGACCCACCATGTGATTAGAAGGTTGGGACTTAGAGCCACATGATATCAACCTGACCATATGGCCAATAATTCAATCACTCACACCTATATTATAAAACCTCAGTAAAACTCCAGGGCTCAATCTCAGGTGAGTTTCTTGGGTTGGAGATACTCCAAGGGCACATCACCATTATTAATAGCATGAAAGTAATGCATATCCAAGGACACAGAAGCATTGTTTTTGGAACCTTGCCAGTACCAGATTCTGTTCTATGTACCTCTTTTTTTGACTGGTTTTGGTGTATACCCATTTGTTATATTAAAATTGTAATCGTAATTATAGTGCTTTCCTGAGGTCTGTGAATCATTTTAACAAATGATCATATCTTATGGAGTCCACAAGGACTGTGAATTTGTAGTCGGCTAGTCTGAAGTAAGGCTAGCCTGAGGAACCTGAACTTGCAACGGTGCCAGAACCTTGGGTTGACTTGGAAGTGTGATGGACTGAGCCCTTAACTTTTACTTAAATTTTGCTTAGGAATATCTGAAATATTTGATGAGAAACGGACTCTTAAATGAAGACTTAGAGAGAAGCGAGTCATGCTGTTTTTTGGAGGCAGAGCACTTCAACAGAAGTAATTGAAAGTAAAAGCTATGAGACAGATGGGTGTCTGGAGTTTTCTAAGAAAAGCAAGTAGGAGAGTATAGCTAGAGTAGAACCAGGCATGGAGGAAGCAGTTTGAGTTGAGGTTAATGAAATGACAAGAGGACCACATTATTTAGTGAACTGTAGGTCCTTGTTAGCTTTTTATGTCTACTCTCAGTGAATGAAGAATT